ATGTCCTTGATCTGCAGTCAATAAAAAAAAGTAGAAGAGAAGAAGATAAATGAAAATATCCGATTTCATGCGATAATTTTGCATTCAAACGAAGTCGAGATGGTCATTACCTGTTTAGCTGAGAGCCCCACAACATCTTTCAACTCGTCAAGCTGTTAACAAACATGTTATATCATGAGTACATATAATGAACAATAATGTCAAGGAACTCCATAATGTATATAACTTACATCCATAAAAGGTGATTCATCACGAAACTCCATAATGTATGTTGCACGTTTTTCTCCGATCCCCTGCACCAAGGCAACGATGTTAGTTTCAAATTTAAGATGCTCATATAAGAACTAAAATATATTTGACACCATTAAAAGCCATTAGTTACCTTTAGTTTCTTCAAATCTTCCCTGATAATGACAAAAGAAATGACCACAAATCAGTTCGCCTTGTCTAGTACATTTACAGATTGAGAAAGATGCTCAAGAATGGTCCAACACTTACTTGTTCGCTGTGTTGAAGAAATTAAGGTACTCCTGAACAAGCGAGTTCTGAAATTGAACAATGATGTATAAGCACCAAATACTAGTCTTATGGTATGTTGATATGGAGGAGAAAGGTGTCGAGATCAACCTTCACTCCGCAATTGCTTCTATTCAACTTCTCCCAGGGACTGCAGAAGCTTGCAATGTCCAAGTTCTTATTCACTTTTATATTGCATTCGGGCGTCATTGGCTCCACACAAGCAGTTGTAAACTGATCTTGGAGAGGAAGATCATTGCTTGAGGGCATCACCGTGCGCAATGGGGTTGACGTGTAGAGCTGCTTTGGGGTTGAATTGTAGAGCTGCTTCAGATTGTTTGAGATCTCCTGCAACCGCAAGCTGATTGGTGGAGATTCATTTTTGTTGGCCAGAAATATGTCATTCTCCTTACCGAGTCTTTGGCCTATCAATACACAGAAACAAGTTAACAGATTCATGAAAGACAACAAAAAGTGGGATGTAAAGCCAAATTAGATCCTAACAACGGTCACTATTTTTCGTACCTTCATCCACCACTGATAATGTCGTAGTGGTTGGTGTTATCATGTCCACATGCTTGTCTAAACTTTGGCCTACTATTATAGAGAAAGTTAACAAATTCATGAAAGACCACAAAAGTGAGAAATAAGATGTTGAGCAAAATTATAACTAATAACATTCACTGTCTCTCGTACCTTCATCAACCACAGGTAAAGCCGTAGTGGCCGGTGTTATCATGTCCACGTGCTTGTTTTCTTCAGTGAGCTCCATTGATACCTAAACCACCATGATGTTATGTTCTTAAGCAACCCAGCTCAAAGACTACAAAACCAACTACAATAGCATCTTATCGTTTGTTCTAAAATTAGAGGTTCGTTTGTTCCATAACCCTAGGCTGGGTTAAGCTTTTGGTGTTACACTCTTGGACCACATTTTCTGCTGATTTTCCAACCAATAGAACTCGAACTAGGCATTCTACATGGGGAAAAAAGTTCTCTATACATACCTGTACCTCCAGGGAAGCAAGAGCATTTACCAACGAAGCAGGAGTATTCTCTAGTTCTAATGATGAAGCTTCCTGCAAACCATATCAAAGTCTCAGACATCTGCCATGGTATAATGCAAACAAACAGCAGGGAGAGAAAGGATAAACCATAAACCAAAACCACATTTTCCTTTATGGAATTCGAAGTGTGCTTTTCCTAAACAGATGATAGACAAAGTAGTTTATAAGCGAGTAGCTTGTTTAAATATGCAAAGCTTACCTCTTCTTGTGCAGAAATCCCAGTATTCAAGCCAACGAAAGAACTTGCCTGGGTTTCAATTCAGACTACAGTTAGGAAATTCCTGAAGGTCCAGAACTCTATCTGAAGTCTGAACAATAGCTTTGAGATATAAGAAAACTTCAGAAAGACTTACCTCTTCTGGTAGAGAAGATTCAGTTCTTGAAACAGTTGCAGAGGCATTTACCTGCACAGCATATGAGTCATTGGTCTTCCGTCTTTAAGATTAACTAAATAAGAATCTATCTCTTCCTATTGTTGGTTTACTTTAATAATAAGCTTCTAATTCATAATCTTACTTTCCTTTGGTCAAAGAAAGCAAGTACCTTATTAGGTTTCTCATGACCTTTGTCGGCAAACAATTTCCTGTTAACAAAAAAATCAAGAACCTTAGACAGAGAGAGTAGGAAGATAAAGTACCCCTATATAGAATTAGAAGCAGTGCCATCTAATAATTACCTTGCTTTCAGCGCAGAAGCATTTCCACTGGATTTCTTACCATGAATAGGAAAATGGGAGGGAGTTGGCTGTTTCCTCATGGAGGAAGCACTCCCAGGTAGCCTGCTTCTATGTGAAGCAAATACCTTGGATCTTGCCGTGCTATCTGTTTTTCTTGCAGAATCCACCACAATCTTGGTAGTAATGGTATTACTCTGGGAGCAACGAGAAGCCAACTTTAACATGTTCATTGAGTCTTGGCAGGAGAAGGGGTTCTGCGATTAGATAAAAGTAAGTTATTAAACAACCTATAAGAAGAATTAGTAAGGAATTTACTGAGGTATAGAACTGAGAAACCAACCAAGCATGTAAGGATCAGAATGCTACTCTTCCCTCCAAGTGAATCTTCCAACATCCGGCTAAGCTTACTCTCTCGATATGGCACATGAATTTCATTGGCATGTAATGAATACGCCACTTTGATGAATGCATGGATGGACTTATTAATTTGAGCATTCTCCCCAAAGTTACCAACATCACTTTTTCTTTTCGCATCCTCATAACCTGATAGAACAAAATGCAATCAGGGACCTAAATGTTTTGATAGTGATAAACAAGAAACACTCGGGTTTCCTGTTAAGGTCTTCAACCTGCTAACTCAACAAAATTGATCTTGCCAACAGGAGCACTGGCCAGCTTATCGGCTTGTGATGATATGTAAAAGATCAACCCTTTTGTGCTTCTGGGAGGAAATGAATGAGTTATCTTTTGATTTGCTTTACGCACGGTCCTGCTTTGTCTACGATATAGTTTGTGAAATTCATACAAGGAATTCACTTGAACCTGAAAAAGATAGAACCAAGAACAAGATTAGGGCAAACACTTCATTACCTTCCTGTCCAATTCACTGGAAAATAAAGATCGAAACACATACACAAGAAAGTCCTTTGAGTTGCACTCGTCCTTGGCCATCTTTCAACACTGATACTTCCTGCGATTTTGGTTCAAGCAGATCATAAGCATGCTCTTGAAGGATCTCGTAGCATGAAACCGCAACAAACTTGTTACTTTCCTCAGATATTCGTAGTATTTCGGCCATAGATAAGGCTGCCAAACCCAAATCCCCTTCAGTACCCTGTGAGGAAAACAAACGACCATTCGAACTCATCAATCTCTCTCACCTATAAACACAAATTCCGAACAAATACAACACGCGAACGATGCAGACAAGCAGAGCAAGCCTTGACCTGAATGACATGAGTCTTTCCAGAACCTCTAGCTCCGCAAGCCACAACAGTGACACTGTGACCGTTGAACACTTCGGGTAATAGAAACTGCACCTCTCTTCTAAACATTTCTTCATTGCCTTCATTCTCTTGGTAGCAGTAACCAATCTCATAACACTCTCTAGAGCTGCCAAACATAATAATAATCTCTCAGAACAGTTGGAATACATTGAACATATGCTTCCATTTCACACATTTCCAGCTACAAAACTAGTTATGCAACATCGACATTTAGGTATACTGCTTTGAATTCATTGAACACTTCAAATACATTAAACTTTGGCTTTCATTTCACACATTTCCAGCCATAAAACTATTTAAGCAACATCGACATAATTTTTTTTTTGGGATAATATGAATCCATAATTGCAGCCATGGGGAAAGTAACGAAGAAGGGTACCAGCACCTTATTGTATATAGTCAATAGAACCAATTCAATTGAAAATTGACATACGGAAGATTGTCTGAAGTGAAAATTCACAGAACTTAGTGGCTCACCTGGCCGATTGCTCTCCCAAGGTCACCTTTACGCGGTCAGATGCATCTCCATTAGGCTTGTTTACTGAAATCCACGGCGCCGGAGCTTTCTTTCCGGGCAAGACCTCTGAATCCGTTGAATTCCGGATTTTGGCTACTACACGAACCTTCCCGCTCAACGACGGGACCGTCCTCGCTGCGGCGGATCTATCGATATGGTCGGGAGTCGGAGCAGCCATGGAAGATTGAACGCGTACAGAGATTCTCAACGGTGAATATGCTTGTGAGGAGGAGTGAGAGAAGCGGGTTTGGGAGGAAGTTTGAGATTGCTCGTTTGTTTATGGAAAGGAAAGAAAGAAGCCGTTAGGCTGCTCTCAATTCGAGCAATAATTTTTTAGCGGTTTTTCAAATTAAGTCTTTCTGGCGCTCCTCTGGTCTGGTGGCAGATTTGCCTTCTACCTGCCATATAAGAGGGTAGTATCGTCATTAACTCGAAGAGTGTCTGGTACGAAAACAAAGAGTACAGAACACACTTCTCAACAAAAACGACGCCGTTGATATCCCTCTGGTCCTCTTCTTCTTTCTCCTCCCAAATCGGTTACCAGAAAAACAAAATCGGCGGGAGGAAGAAGGAGGGAGAGACTAGCATGGAAGGAAGGACGGCCGTAAGCGACGGCGCCGATGCCGGGAAGAAGAAGATTGCTCCGTCGTGCGATGTGGAGGCGCTCAAGAAGTGCTTGGAGGAGAACAAGGGGAACTACGCTAAATGTCAATCCCAGATCGAAGCTTTCAAGTCCTCGTGCTCCGTCAAGAAACCAACTACTTCGTCGTAAAACCTGCAGCCACCACGTAGAACGGTCAGAGCTACTTTATTCTCCGTCCTGCTGTTTGTCGATTCAACAAAAGCGCAATAAGAAGAATTCACTAGGAACCTTTTTTTTTTACACATACTTGAAATTATGCAGTGAAATTTCAGTTGCAGGGCTATTTTAATGGCAATTTGATCACTTTGCTTGATTAGCTACTTCTGAAAAGCTCGGATTTCCGCTGATTATATCTAATTTAAGCTCGAGAACAGTCGGGCATTCCACAATCAGATTGGTAAGACTTATATCTTACCATCAAACTAGCTATAGATTAGTTCAGCAGGCTTTACAACTCTTCCGACAAGTTCCAAAGTAGTCATCAGAACCAATCATGTAAACCGGATTCTTCTCGCATTCTCCTGAAGTGGCCCATGCGGGGCAGTTATCGTCCTCGTCGGAACATTCATCGCTGCTGCTACCCGATTGATAAGGCGGAGGGTTCCCGGCAATGGTGGGCCTAAGGAAGAAGAATTTGGTGGCGACCCACATTTCAGATTCCTGGACTGGGCACCTAGAGTGGAAGCTGCTCGGGTCAGGGGAAGTGTTGAGGTGAAGATTGAAGAACAGCATCGCATTCCCTTTTATCGGTCTAAGAATCTCGCTGCTCTTTGTGCAATCGGTCCATATCTTGCTCTTGTCCTGTCAAAAGTCAGTTTTCCTTTCCATGAGCTCGAAACATGAACTAAGGGAGGCAGGGGAATCATGTGGGTTTTGGATTGTTTTGAAAGCTAACCTCTGAGTTAGGGAAGAGAATTTGCCCACCATGAGTCACATTTGAGAGATAGAACACAAGAGTGGCTACCAGAGCCTCATTTGAGGTCGATAAGGATTGGTTGCTGAAGTAACTAAGGTTCTGAGCGGTGTGCTCTTCGACTCCATACTGTGCGACCTGTAACGACTGCCCGTTATCTGAAATAAGGACAAGTGAGGTTGATCACTGAACTGGGTTGTAACTGGTGAAACAAAGGACAAGTTACAGTAGGATGAGGCTGGGCAAGAGGCAAGCACCACTAGGAAGCAAAGTCCATGCTGCAACTCTTTCCTCAATCCTTGTTATAACATTGTCCTGCAGAACAGAAAACATAGCAGTGGCTTAGCGTCTACATAGCGAACTGAACCGCGATCTGCACGCATAGAGACTAAGCAAAACTACCAACATATTGAAAAGAGGACTTACATCTGTATCTGGAAGAAGCTTTGTACTAGCCAACATCCTCTTCTTCACTGTCTGCCTGGAATTATCACCATTTCCCGCAATACCCACTTTAGGATCTTGTGCCTGAGCCCAATTATAAGCATTATGGAATCATCCAGTTCCATAGTAGATGACTAAAATGGGATTCAGAGGAGAAGAAAGTGTACCAAATAAATAAGATGATCACATTCCTCATCTGTCAGAAAGCCTTGATATAGGAACACCCTGACCCAGCAACGTCAACAGTACAAGAGCACATCAACTTTCCAAGCAGACATTAATATTTTCAGCTTATCAATTTTTAACGAAATAAGACATCTTTAGTTAATCAAGTACCTGACCTTGGTCGCCAAGACAGCGAAATAACGCGTGATGGATCAACCCTATTCAATGGCGTGGAGCTTCTTAACTGAATGACAATTTCATGGTTGAAATCCGCCTTACCCCTCAACTCCTTCCGGCTGAACCAAGCAAAAAACTAGCAGGTGAAACTATAAACTACAGTACAATTTCGAACAAACAGAAGTGAAGTGACATAAGGCTACCAAAGTTACTACCTGCAGCATATGTTATTGCTATACAAAAACTAATCTATGAGATGGTAATAGATCCTAGTAGTTCATACAAGCACTAATCAGTAGGAAACAGTTAACTAACAAAGCTGGAAGAAGCAATTCAGCCAGAAAACGAACAAAAATGCTATCAGGCGACAAGTACAGCAAATCCGCCCAGCTAGGGAACACCATTAATCTAGCGGCATGGTCAAGAAATCGCCAGAGTTCCAGCGATGCACATTTTTTCGCGAGTAGTAGCAGAAAACAAGGATCAAGTTCAAGAGCAACAACGAAATGCAACTGCGGAATCTCCGTTTTCAACGAGAGTACCTAATCAGACCAAAAGAAATCGGTGGGAGCGATCGCAGCAAACGAAACTGGAGCTTCTGAAGAGACCGAAATGATGTTTCGTTATTTACCTCTCGGCGAAACAGTTGAAGTGCACACCGGTGAGGGCGATGAAAAGGAGGAAGCGTAGGAAGTCCGCCATTGATGAAGAGAGAAGGTGATCCCCGCTGCTTAAGAATCACACTGGAAGGCGAACAATGTCTGAAGATCGAAGAACTAGGAGAAGAACTATGTCATCGATTCGACAGCGATTGATCCAGTACTCAACATTAGTGTTCCATAAATGGAGGCAAATTCCGATCAACGAACTTGTAGGAGCAGCTTAATCGGTTGATGTACGAGAGAATGGTTAGCGGGCTGGGATGATGGGCTGATGCTTTGCTCTCCATCCGATAAAAGCCCAATCGTACCGGGCCTTGAACTTTAGTGGAGTCGTTATCTGGTTCAAATTTTAGCGAGAAGGAATAATTTCTCCAAATCATTACGGTATTATCTTATCTCTCAGCAAATTGACATTTCATGCACAATCATGCAAATGAACCAATCTACAGTTCTATACTTAAGTATCTAAAATGTACATGCATAGAAGGAAAGGTAATCGGCATGGAATATGTCGTAGAGCAAGTTTTAAGCTCCCGCTAGAGGTGGCAAATGAATTGGATTGGTGGATCAATAGATCAAATGGATTGGATCCAATGAATTGGTGGATTGTGGATTATCCATGAATCCAAATGACATCTTCAACCAAGGACCAATATGTAAAATGCAAAAGGTTTATGTACTAAAATGTTGTAATGAAATTTTTTAGGTACCAAAATGTAAAAAATAAAAATTATAGGTACTAAACTAATTTGCCAATGATCCATGGATCCAATCCATGAATTCACCAATCCAATTGGATTTGAATCAAATGAATGGATTGGATTCGTGGATTGGATTGAGAATTGCCACCTCTACTCCCCACATATCTCCAGGAATGTTCTCGTATTTTTTTTTTTAATTCCTTCTTCATAATACTATCAAACGCATGGCAAAACACTAGCCGAGCTCAATCAGACCATCCACAATAGCAAGTGGGAAATATAAAAAAATATTTAATTATCTTTAGAAGCAAATACAAATGTCCCAAATATCTATATCATATAGACGCAAATATGATAGTATCTAGAGACAAATAAAAATGCCTCCTATAGTTTTGTTATGTAGACACAAATTTAATAGTATTTAGAGACGAATATAAATGCATTTTTATAATTATGCTCTATAGACACAAATCTAATAATCTTTAGAGACAAATAAAATGTTTTAAACACCCTAACCAAATACTAGAGTTTGATTTTCTTCTTAATATATTGTATTTAATATATTAATCGTCTTAATATATTTTATTTTATTATTTAAATGATTTTTCTCCGAATTTATCCTTGCATTCTGATAGCTTTAAAATGGAGATGCCGAGCAATTTTTTTTTTTTTTTTTGGTGCAAAGAGATGCCCAGCAATTGCACTTCCTGTGGTATTATTAAAAAAACATTTGTGTTTTTTTGTGAGAGAAAAAAAGCATTTGTCTTCTAACGAGGAAAGGAATTTGCCCCTTAAATAAGTTTTAAAAAAATCCACTCCTAATTTTCCGTTGAATTACCCGGTTACACTTATCCCATCGTCTATTAAAAAAAGTATTAAATTTCCAAAAATACTTTGAGAACAAAAAACCTATAATTAAACAAATTAATATGGAGAAACCCCATCCCTGCAGCTTGCACTCCCCTTAATTACGACCTTATCTTTGCACCCGTCGCCGTCGTTTCATCTCCCTCAAACCGCCAACATCTCTAGCTACTCTTCCCGATATAGCCTTCAACCCGCGACTGTCCATTTGAACAACTATCATCTCAACCTTCCAAGATATTGACAAGGCCTTTGATTCGAGAGACGACGACATTGAAGATTGAAGTGCGCCTCCCAGTCGAGTTTTGTTCTGATTACCGCTGAATCGATCTCTATAAGCATGAACCTTGGGATTTTCCAAGTAAATATCATTTTGGTGTCTATGATTCAGTTTATTATCGGCTAACTGATCGGATCTTTCTTCTGTGCGTTTTCGGATTTCATTGTTGTTGCCATCTCCTTAATCGTCGCAACAAGCGAGAGCGGCAGGCACCAATCGAAGATGTGGAAGGTATTTCACAGATGATTTGGTTTGATTATTAGTTTTCTTTCTCAAATTTATTTTTTCGAATTTAGCCAGATCCATCATCCGCCTTGCCCAGATCTATTATCTATATCCATCAAAATCGACCAACCCCTGGCCGCGCTCCTTCATAACCGTCCTTCACCAAGATCGTTGTTTGGTCCATAAATGATTTAGACGAGACGCCTGGCTTGCTCCAGCAGTTGATCGAGGAGTGCAGCTTCCAAGGATCAAGGAACGTGGCGATCGATGGCTATGAGAAACGGCGATGGCAGTTGATCTAGCCACTTAGGGGAAGGAATTCAGAGTTTTGAGATATTGGGTAATGGTTTCAACGTTGTTGTTCGAGCAGCAAATTCCAATGAAGTTTTGAAGCATGAATAGTTGAAGATTGATGACCTTATACTTCAAGTTCTTAATGAACAAAGTAAGGGGATTGTGTAGATCTTGTAGGATGCCATACTTGTATTTTTCAAAGTATTCAAATAGATGTATTAATGTATTACGGAAAATTATGTTGGTATTATTCTTTTTAAGAATAATGTATCGAAAAATATAATAAATAAAATTATATTCTTATTATTGTTTTGTAAAAGTTGAATGGTGCAAAATATATGTGCCCTGAAAAAGATTATATAATAATTAAAATTTAAATAGAATCAAGATATACTCATTCGAAGCAAATATTTTTGTTTTCGTAAGATCTTTTAGAAGCAAATATATTTGCCTCAAAAACTAATACCAGAAACAAAAAAATATATCTCTAAAACCAAATTAGAAGATAGAAAATAGGCATTTAAAAGTGGAATCACCATCAAAAAAATTTGTTTCCAATTCCTCATTTAGACGCAGATATCATTAGCTACTACATTTGCCTCTAAAGGGAATTAGAGATAGAGGCGTCCGATGCAAATAACGCATCTGTCTCCATTGATATATAGAAACAAATAAGTGGCATTTAGAAACCAATAACCTTTGCATCTATAGCCCGATTTTCTTGTAGTGGATTAATGTTAACTCGTAAGTTTATTTTGTATTACTTTTTATTTTGATTTGTGATTTTTATGATTTTAACTGAATTACGGTTTTATTGCAGATGGCATTCCAAAAGTTCACGCTAGGGTTACGTTGGAATGATTACAAGGAAGAGACCGGAAAGGGTCGCTACCAGACTGATGCTTGAAGAACTCCATCAAATGTGTACTGACGTTACTTGCATGGATGGCACGAGAAGAGTTGATCGTATGGTGTACTGATATCCAAACAGAGAAGGCGGGTCATTGTGGCATGAGGAATATCATATAACCACTCAGGAAGAAGTAGATGCCATGCTAAAATACTTGAGGTCCAATAATCTTTCCAAAGCAGAGATGTTCGTTTACACCGAGGCGGTCGAAGGCGTTGGAGGTCATTATGGAGACGGTCAAACATCTGGTATCCATGGTGGAGGTGAATTATATAGAGATCATCCATACTAAAGTTACCATGATCCTCATTCCTACTTTCAGTACCAAGATCAAGGTGAAGGTCATCATCAATCTTTCCCATCATATGAAGAAGAAGTCGAACGAGACCATGCCAACCAACCCGAGTACAACTTCCATTCAGGTAGCGGCAGTTTTCACAACTACCATTACGGAGCTGATGAAGGTGACTTTCATGATTTGGATCAGATGGAAGATTCCCTGCCAGCACCAGTTAGTGACCCCTCCGATGAAGAAGAAGGGAGCAATTTCAGTGCAGACAGCTCCGACCCTCTTGAAGGTGCTGATGATTCAGGAGGCTCAAAGTCAGACTCTGATGATGATGAGGTGTCTCGTGACCGTGTACCTATATCGTACTACACTCACATTTCAGACGACAATTGGTGTGTCGACAAAGACATGGAGCTGCCAGATGTCCCAGTATGGGGTCCACTCACTGGGTTTATAAAGTGCCAACAATTTGGTTCGAAGAAGGAGGTGTGGCACGCCATTGATACTGAAGCAATGACTCGGCATTTTGAATGGCACACAACTCATTCCAACACGAAAAGGCTCATAGTGAGATGCCGTAATCAACACGAGGGGTGCAATGTTAGGATTCGGGCCATCAACAGCAAGAGACACGACCATTGGGTCATATCCCATGTGGTGAACACACACATGTGTGTCATCCATATTATCCCAAGGCCATCGACAGTTGAAATCCAGGGTGGTTTCTGCGGCTATCAAGTATCTAATTGAGCAAGATCCTGACCTGAAGGTGAAAGTCATAATTGCTAACATTACAAGTCGTTATGGTTATATTATTAACTATAAGAAGGCGTGGCATGGAAAGCAGAAAGCTCTGGCCGCCGTCTTTGGTGACTGGGAAGAAACATATGCATTCCTGTCCATGTTGATTTTGGCATTGGAGGCGTCTAACCCTGGCACTGTTTTCTCCCTTTGATACCAAGATGAAGAGATACAGCCGCCAGAGCCCGGTAACATACGCCATTTCAAACGTTTTTTTTGGGCATTCAAGCCATTCATTGATGGTTTTGGCTTCTGTGTCCCTGTGATCCAAGTGGATGGTACATTCCTTACAGGTAAGTACAATGGCACTCTCCTGATTGCCAGTGGTGCGGATGCAAACAGACAAGTATTTCCTTTAGCCTTCGCCTATTGTTGAGGGAGAGAATGCTGATAGCTATGGATGGTTTTTCCGGCAAATTCACCACCACGTCACCAGGAGAACGAACCTGGCAATCATCTCTAATCGGCACGTCGACATCAGAACTGCCATCTTAGGTTTTGATCCAGCCTGGAAGTGGTCCCAAAGGTGGTGCATACGACACTTCAAGAGCAATTGGAACCATCATTTCAAGCGGAAGAAGCTTGGCTGATAATTTGTGGTGGATTGGTAAGCTCTCTATTTCACTACAACACTTGTTAGACTCTTTGTAAAGAGATGCTTGCCTAAGGAAATGGGATTTTAAGCGATTATCATGTCCTCCCATTTCCTGGGAAAATCGGGTTTTAAGCAATCCTCGGATCCCCCTTTTTTTGTCACAAAGACTGTGTTTCTAATGAGATTTATACCTATCCTAAGAGTCTAATGAGAGTACCTGTCGGTTGTTTTAATTAATGAAAATTAACCCAAATCACACTAACTTAAGACTTTTATGTGTGTTCTTCTTAGAAATGCAGCCTTTTTGACAAAAAAAGGGGGGATCCGAGGATCGCTTAAACCCCGATTTTCCCAGGGAATGAGAGGATCATGATAATCGCTTAAAATCTCATTTCCTTAGACATGCATCTCTTTATAAAGAGTCTACGAAGTGGCGCTATGTATTCGATTAAATTATTGAAAACAACCAATACCATTAAAAATATATCAAATTTATTTTATATTCCACTAAGTACGTTAGCAAAATAAAAGAAAGACAAATGATGAAGAATTGTATGTACCTCGTGATCGTTCCAAACATCCCTTGAACAATGGTTGGGTTGGTCGTACAACACGTTTGGATCACTAGGTCCTTGATCAACATAATACCGTTGGTTGTATATATCCACGTCGTCCTCAACCTACGAGAGAATAACAACAAGGTTAGTACATAGATTAATTAAAAAGGTTATAACAACAACAACAAAAATTTGGTAAAATGAGTACGTACCGCTTGAAATTCATCATAATAAACACCCACCTCTTGGAACCACCCCTCCATTTTTTCGCGGAAGTCGGACGGAGATTCGGCGAGTTTTGAAGGAAAAGCCAAAGAAATGTTTTCTGATGGTAGATCGGACTTAGCCACAACCAACAGACCATTATTTTCTAGACTTTTGGGAGGGGAGGAGGATAGATAGAGAGATAATTTTAGAGAGAGAGAAGAATGGGTTGTAGTGTGAAAAAATGAAGAGGGGGTATTTATAGTCTTCAGACCGCACCCTCCAGGGGTGTTTTAGTAATTTTGCCCTTACCAAAACCACATCTGGAGGGTGCGGTTTACGGCGTCCGAGGCTCAGACCGCTCCCCCAGCACGTAGTCTTCGATCCCTGACACAGATCTTTGCGCTGGTGTGCGGTATGTCGTTGGATCGCCGCCTAATCCAACGGTCCTGGGGCCGCTGCGGTGTGAATGAAGACCGCCGTGTCAGCGCGCGGTTTGCAGACAGCCCTAGCGAGGACCGCATAACGAGGGTGCGGTTTCCACATAAAACCCACCTTGAAGGTGCGGTTTTGAAAGAATGGTGTTATTTTTGGAATTTGTGTGGGCTGGGTGCTATTTTGTATAAAAAAAAGTGCTATTATTGGAAAAATCCCCAACATTTTCCCACGACCAACCCTTTTTCCACTTCCCACTTCCCACACAAATAGTTGATTCTCTCCCATAGAGCTTGCAATGCGCCATTAGTAAAAGAACAATGAATCCCTTCTTACGATATATTCAGTTCCAAGTCGAGCACAAAATGCCAACGATGTTTGGCGATTGTTGATGGAAATATCCTCCGAAATTTTGACTCAAAGCGCGCACAATGCTTTATCCTCGGGCTTCTTCCATTTTGGCATTCGAGCAGATGCAGAAGGCATGATGAGGAAGAAGAAAGAATAAGAATGAGATGTTCTATTTAAAGAGTTAGAAAAAAATAGTCGTTGAAAAAATGGTAGTTGGTAAAAAAAATTTGTTGGACTTCAAATTTCTGCACCCACCAATAGAAACAAAAAAATAAAAGATGAAGCAGTCAGTCGCCACTGTCGGGCCAGGCGTCTGGCTCTCCCTCTCTCGCCTTTAATTCCCACTTTTGGTCCTTTTCAGGTGGGAATACTCACCTCAATTATCAACCAGAACCAATTATGTCTATTATCTTGAAATTTAAAGTATTAGTGTTCTTATGTTGTCCTTGATCTTTAAAAGTTCTATGTTTTTAAGATTTTAAGTTTGTATATGTTTTGTATTCAAAAGAATACAACAAACTTGTTTAGTGTAATTGGTATTGATTTGTATCTGAAGAGACCATGATTGAAAAAGGTAGGCAAAACTCTACCACATATTATAGTAGGATTTGTAGATCTATTTTTAGTTTATTTATTTTTCAAAAAATAAAAATTGTTTGGAAAATAATTTAATATTCATATGGCATAGTCAAATGTTTGAATTTTTGTCACATCATAAAAACTATCCATCTCATTTAATATTTTACCACATTAGAGTCAATTAACTATTGATCGGAATAAAAGTTGACTGTGTGGCTGATAATCATTTTTAAAAATATTTTCCTTTTATTTCGTTTAAAACTAAATGTTTACCTCATAAATTGTGTTTACCATTGTTCAAACTCCATTAGAAAAAATAATAATCTGGGGCAAACATTCATACTACAAGATAAGAATCATTTAACTTAAAGCCAAACAAATTGTTGTGTCATATATTGAGACATTAGACAAGAACCCTACATGAAATAATTCAATGTACTGGAAATTTTTGAAATTTTTTATCAAAAATTATATAGTAAATACTAATTATTATTCAAATTTTTTTGCATTTTAAAATATTATCCAAGCTATTCAAAATACAAAAGATTAGCCAAATGTAAATTTTTAGGTAGTAATTTTGTTAATAATATTGACTTGACAACATGAAAC